CCACAGCCCCAGCCCCACAGCCCCACAGCCACAGGGAAGCCGAGAGGAGGCTTTGGGTTTTCCCCACCACTGCTGGCAGCGTGGCTGACCAGAACAGAGCAGAAGACCTACCTGAAGCTACTCAGTCTCCCAAGACAAATATTAAGCTTCCCTCGCCCCAGAGCATCAGAAAAACTGTGAAAAGACACTTACACAGTTTTAAGTGAAGAAAAATGTTTCATAGTTAACTCTGTGCCAAAGAAATACAAGGCAGATGCAGGAAGAACGCAACTGGGTGTCCTACATCAATACACACTTCAGCCTCCGTTCCCTGGACAGCATACAAAATATCTCAAAACCCGTATTTGACAATGGCAGTGGAGTAGATGATCGTCATCTGCTGTGGCAATTAGTGGCAGATGTCCCATCATCTCACTGGAGCGGCCGCTTCACTGATTCACGCAGCAGAAGCTGGGCAGCTCAGTAACGAGAACAAGGGGATGCCAAGACGGGATTCGGGGCACGTTCCCAGTGCTGCTGCCCTCTCCCCGGGCGAAGCCGGCCTCCACGCCTCGTCTCCCACCCCGGCACCGCCTCCCTGCGCAGGGCGTTTTGCAGCCAAGAGGACGGAACCCCTGCATAAGGGCCTCGGACGCTCCTGCGTTAAACCCTCCTGCGCTCTGGACCAGCATAACCGTGCAGTTTCAGCTGCTTCAGCATATGTGGAGGCTTGGTAGGGTATTAGCCTTTATTGAACTTCTTGCTAAATGGTGCCATGTGAAGCCCCTGCTGAAAATACTAATAAAGACACAATTTTCTACCTACTGTTGCCTTCCAGCAGACTTTTGACATGATTTCTGCAAGTGGAAAAAGCAGGGAAGGAGAAGGGAAAGGCTGCAGCAGCTCTCTAGAAGACACGAAGGCATTTACGTTGTAATTCACACCCGTTTCCTTTCAATCCTCTTTCCACAAGACCTTGCTTTTCACAACATAATCCCTTAAAGCAGCTTATTTACTTCTTGGACCTCCTAGAGAAGCCCTGAGCTGGACACCTCACCGCGCCGCTCGGCGCGCTGCCGGGCACAGAGGCCCTCCCCTGCGCGTCCCAGATCCTCTCGCCGCACGCATAAAGCTGCGAAATCCAAACCCGGAGGCACGTAAAACCCCAGACTTTGATTCTTCCTTTCCAGATCAGATGCCGCTCCACCGAGCCAGCTCCCTCCACCCCGGCCCTCCCATCGCCACCCAACAGCCTCCTGCCTGTGAAACCATCCCTGGCATTTCCCGTATCACAAAGCTCTCCATCCGAGACTCTTTCCTTGCTGTATTTTAACAGGGACGTTTTTATCCTGCTTTATAAACCACCGATTCAGACTTCACTTTGATTTTACCTGGCTATGCAAACAAGAATTTACTTTCTAAGACGGTACAAAGCCAATACTTTTAGCGCTGATGCAAAATCCTTTATCTTTGCGTTGCAGTAACACCGAACCTCCGAGGCGCCCAAAGCTTCCCAGTGCTTCTGGCTCATTTCCCCGCTTGTTTCTCCAAAAGCCTCCAAAACACAACGAGCCCCGGGAGCCTCGGTGGGCCCCAACCTTACAAACCCCAGCAACGCTCACAGAGGGAAAAGGTGGCCGGTGCCGGCGGCACTTCCCAAACGGCGAGCGAAGTCCGCAGCAAACGCGCGTCCCGGTCTCGCTCCGCTAACAGACCGCCCTACGTCTAGGGTGACGTTTCATTCAAATGTTTTACACGGTCGTTTTTTCTCAGATGGCATGAGGCGCATTTTATACTTTTCTTATCTAATCTTGAAGATAAACGTACATAAAGTTTGGAACTGGCCAGGGAACGTATCAGCACTTGGCCCGAGTACATACCCGGGCTAAGCCCACAGCAATCTGGCTCCGGGGCAGGCGTCGGGCGCCAGGCAGCACGGCCGCTCGCCACCTGCGCCGCGCTGCAGCCGCGCCAGCCCTGCTTTCCCCTCACCACTACGGCCTGCGACCTCGCAGACCACGCGCTGTTAACCAGGGCCGAGTTCTCACCTTCTGCGGACGGGTACGGACGAGCTCGTTACACAGCGACGGGCGAGGGGAACACACGCTGTGCACTGAAGCGGTTAACTGCACAGAAAGCTGCACAACAGTCAAGTATTTTTGGAGGCAGTTGCTTCAGTTCTTAAAAAAACAAAACAAAAAAACCCAGCCCAGATTCTCAAAGGCAAGAAAGGCCACCAGTACCTAGTCACACCTTACGCCTTCAAAAACCTGACTCGAGTCCCTGCGAACGGGACGCAAAGGTGGCTTTGCACTGGAAGGAATCGCGTCAGACTCCCTCCTGCTCACAGAAAGCTGCACATCAGACTTCTGCAGGCCCTTCATGAAAGCAGCACTAAATACAGTCTCTGTAATGCAAGATTTGTGAATTGGTATAAAAATGTAAGCGGCTTTACAGATACCCTCCGAGGCACGTGAAACGATTACTAGGTTTGCCCAAAGAGAGCACTGCGGAGTAGTTACCCCGAGCCCCCCAAAGCCTCGACGAGGATCACCGCCCGGCAGGACGCGAAGGCCCCCAACGCAGCAAGGCTTCGCTGAGGCAGCACCGCGGATCCTGCTCCAGCAGCAGCTCGCGACGCTTGCAAGGGAGCGGCCCTTCCCTGCCTCCAGGGTCGGCTTTTGTTTGTTGCTTGGTATGTTTTTCAGAGTCATTATTTACATGTCCCCCACGTAACCTAAACGAGTTTATGCATTAAGCAGCTAGCCTTCTGTACCCTGTGCCCTCAAAGCAGAGGCTGGCACGGGGGAGCGTGGTTTAGTCTGGTTCGTTGCAGCCCCCCGAGAACGCTGCACGCTGCTCGGGCTCGCGGGCGGCCGGGATGCGGAGGGCGGCTCGGCACGCTCAGGCGACGCTCCGCGACCGCAAGGAGCTGGGCCGTCGCCGTCCCCGACTGCAGAGGGCCAAGAGCCCGGACTGAGCCGGCGGCGTGCCAGAGCAACACCTGCGCCGTGGAAAACACGCGGAAACGCTGCTGTTCAACGACACCCTCTTTATTCAAAAATAGATATCTATGAGACATTTCAGAATATACTGCTGCCACAAATGGCAGCCTATATGTCTAAATTAATTCCTAAATCAATTCATATACAGATTTAAGCTTTTGTTAAAAAAAGACACACACCTTGGGGAAATCTGTTTAACCTCGAGAGAATGTCACCCAGTTCACCAGATGCCCTTTGCCCAAAAAGTAAAACATAAAATTAAAAACCACAAGACTTCATTTAAGTTAAGCAAAATAAAACACACACATGTATTTGGAAAAAAAAAAACCAAAACCAAAACAAAACATTTCAATTAAAAAAAAAAGGACATATAACTCTCTCACAGAAGATCTGCCCAAAACACCAGCGTGAGATGTCAACACATGTGTCTACATAACTTCTTTATGACAGCTTTTTTGTCCCGTAATGGATACACATTCGATCAATGGTCAAAAGAATTACTGGTTCAAACAGCCTCAGGGTAACTCCCGAGCTGAGACAGGACAGAAAGGAGTCTTTTGGTTTGGGTCGTCGAGGTTTGGTGGGGATTTTTTGTTTTTCATTTTTGGCAAAAGCAGAGAGAATGTACAGTGCTTTATCTAAATAATGTTTGGACCATAACAGGCTGTACAATCAAACCAATTCATGGAAAGAATAGTTCTGCCACTGGAAAATTTCCTGTAAACTACACAGAAAAACACATTTCTTGGCTGGGCAGTAAGGGTGCGAGGAGTTTTAAAAAAAAAGGACAAAACGAAGTGTCAGTAAGAAAAGGACGCGAGCTTCTTAACAACTTAATGACCAAAAAATGCTGTATTATTTGTTTTCACTGAATGCTGAATAGGCTCCGAATACCCTGTAAAATAAATTAATGAGGATGCAGAACAAGCTTTGCATTTCTGTAGGTTTCCTCTCATGTCGTTGACAACAGCAGCGTGAGACCATAGGGAGGCACAAACACAGCACAACTGATTTCAGCCTCTGTGGGACAAAACCTGTGTTATCAGATCAAGTGTTTCCAGAAACTTAACGTGTTTTCTAGTGAGAGGTGTTAAATTTAAACAGAATTGTTATCCAAACTGGAATGGTTTTCAGTGATCAGAGTCCAGCTTGTTAGACCTAACACACAAACCAAAATGTAACTACATCCATGGCAGCCAAAACATTAGCTAGCAACACACTGGAATTAAGAGTATTTTAAATTTGCCACCTTTTTTTGTCTTTTTCCTTTTTTTCTTTTAACTTTTCCTGATTATAAAAATCAACTCACAATAATCTGTGACACAAAATTAAGTACATCCTTCTAATATCTACATGCATGGACATGGTACATGTGCATACAGGATATGTGCATATATGTGGGTCTATTTTCTATATAAATAAATATTTATACCACATTTAACTTCCGTGCATCAAATAACTTCTCTAAAGCCATCTAGAGGCTTTATAGCGTAGTATTTCCAACGTAACCATCTCAGAGTAGATCGGACAGTGCCTGTCACTGGGAAATCGCCAGCTGCAATACACCATTCCAGCCTCTCGGTTTGTTAAACCAAAGCTTCCGTGACCATCTAATTTTGTATAATGAAGAGGAAAAATGTGGTATAAATCTAAGGTAGCTAGAACAAAGTTTACTTCCACTCTCATTTAGGTAACATCCCGTTCTGCATTGCTCAGCAGAGCGTAAGTCATGAAGCTATCTCTAATTCACAAAGAAAAGCTGCTTACGTTTATTGCCTGTGGTGAGTTTCAATTTACGTACGTGCCAAACAGGAACTGTCTCCCTGTCAGTCCCACAACAGAATGAGGAACTGTAGATTTAAGAAAAATATTTTTCTGTACCATTGCTCAGTAGACACCGCCTTCTTACGCTGACATGGTACAGCACCTGCACGCACACCCCCCAACGAAGCCCGCTAGCCACTCTACTGCTCTCAGAGATGAGGTTCAGAAACCCAGCTAGAACAGAAAAGACTTATTCAGAAATAATACAATACTTTTATGGAGGAAAAATGTTGTATGGTCAACCTTTCTTTGAAAACTTTCCAGGTATGTAGGTACATGATTCACATGACTTTTGTGGGGGTAACAAGTGCTAAGAGCAAACAGCAACTAAAGAGTATGGAAAAATATGAGAAAAGTTTGCCTATATGGACTATCGCCACTCCCCTCAGAGCTCACAAAAACTCGCTTTTTCCTCCCCTCAGCGTGAGCCAGTGTACACAGGGAGAGGCCGAGCACGAGCAGCCAAGAGGTCGAAAGCAGGGTCTGCAAGTTCCTTGCTACTGGAGATCTTGGAAGACTGGATTTCCAGTCAACACCAGAGTCTTCTCACTTCTGCTGGTAACAATGGAAACCGGGGGACACCGTTTGTTCTAGTCTGTTGAAAACAGGTCACCAGCAGACGGCAGAGGTGCCAGACCTCCTGTGACATTGGGCAGCAGTGACAGATCTGGAAGGCTCTGGATGTGGGATTTCAGCTCCTTGCGGACCTGGGTTACCCGAGCAAGCTTCTGTTTGTATTCCTGAGGGAAAGA